ACTTGGGCCCTGACGAGCGTGTTATTGGTACACATGTGACTCCTAGGGATGCTGCGCGGGTCAATAAGTGAATTCAGATTCGAACCCGATCCTCCTATTCATATCAGTAGGAGTCGACAGGGTTTGAATCTTCAAACAAATGCACGGTTGTGGCGACCGATGTATTTGTTTAAATACATTCATATTAGGCCATCAAGACCTATAATCAAGAGAATTCACTATTAAAGGCACAAAGCCTACGAAACCTGATCCTCCTAAGCACATAAGTAGGAGTAGACAGGGTTCAAACCATTAGATAAATATGCGGTCACGAAGTCGACTGAAATATTTATCTTATACATTGATATTAGGCCTTTATGGCCTTTAACAAAAGAAATTCATTCAACAAAGGGCACGAAGCCTATGAAACCCAATTCTCCTAATCAGATAAATAGGAGTAGACAGGGTTCAAACCATCAGATAAATATACGGTCACGAAGTCGACCAGAATATTTATCTTATGCATTCATATTGGTCATTCAAGGCCTGCAATCAAGAAAATTCACAAACATAGGCACGAAGCCTACGAAACACGATCCTCTTAAGCAAGTAAATAGGAGTAGACAGGGTTCGAAAAATCAGATAAATATACGGTCACGAAGTCGACCGGAATATTTATCTTATACATTCATATTAGGCCTTCAAGTCCTTTAACAAAGAAATTCATAAACAAATGCATAAAGCCTACGAAACTCGATCCCTTATCGGCAAGTTGATAGGGTCGACAAGGTTCAATCAACAAATGGAAATGACCCCAAACACCCTAATGATGGTCGTGTTGAACGAAGATCTCAACCGGAGGGGTCCACAAATATTTCAAATTCCACTCAAGTGTCTATCAGAATCCAAACTCTACAAATCCCAAATTCTAGATATTTAAATTGAAATCAATCCATCAATACTTAAAGCAAAATCCATCCACCCCCCACAACAGTTTGCCGGGTAGATAAAATGAAAACTACTTCAGCTCATGAAGAGCCAAATGCCTAGTCGAAAATATCACTAGGATCCATTCTCAAACAATCTCCTGACAGTAAGGACGTGGTACGTGTCCTCTAACCTGCGGTTTTGCCGCCAAATGACACCGCAGGATAAACGGTTATGACTCGGAGCCCTCTGAACCGAGTGGTTTTGCCACCAAATGGCACCATGAAATAATGGTTATGGCCAGAGCCAATACGTTCCTTATTGGCATCAAATCCTTGAGATATGAATTAATAGGATATGATCGATAGGACACAAATCCCTCTGTAAGTTAAGGTGGATTCAAATTTGTCCCCTTAGACAAATATTCACCCCAGGTCTACAAGGTACCCTTGGACGAAGCAACCCATGGCTGCCGACAAGGATTCTTCTGTCAGGTTGGGTCGACTACCTCCTCGGACTAAGTAGACCAGGGACTACGATGGCCCAGGACGACGGAACCATGGGATCTTGATCGGGACTATCATTCATTCCCCAACCATCTGCTTTAAGTGCAAGATGGTGAAATTTCTGTTCTAAATATCACCCTCCCAATTCCAAAATTCAAACCCAATTTCCAAATACCTATCCCATTGCTGCTACTATATGCCAAATTCCACGTATTCTATACGTATCTGATTGATGACTAGCCTTAATCAAAAGTTCTCTCTTGTTACCGGAGGGGTAATTAACTATAGGGGTTTGCGCCTATAGGAAACCAGAACTCAGATCATAAAGTCCTCACAAAATGAGGGCGAAATCTCTGGGTAATGTCTTATCTACAAACCCATCTCCTTCCAAAATTTACCCCGGAACTTAGTCCGTTAAAACTCCCCTCGCCGAAGAAAAAGCATCAAAGCAAATCAGTGTGCGCGGCGGAGGCCGGGGCCGAATTTTCGGAGCCCATAGTTTCTCACAGAAATTATATTTCATGTAAACATATCCCTTCTTTGCACCTTCGCTTGACACTTCAACTTAAATTCCATATTTCCATGTAGGATCTTTCTTTCTTGTGTCACTAGTCATACTAATAATTTATAGAAATAAATAATCAACATCAAATTACTGATATATACAAGATTTTTAATTATTCACATGCAAATAAATCACAACACAAAATCAACAATATGACAGATTTTAACAATTATTTATACTACCAAAATGCAGAACCAAGCAAAAATAGTGTTAAAATCAATAAGTAATAAAACTTTCAAAAAGTTTATAATATGCATATTGATTCTATAACTAAGCTCATAAATCTATTATGCATGCATATTATGAACAATGAATGCTAAACAATCACTCTCCAAACACTGAATGTACTTGCACTCAAAAGTTAAATCAAAATACATTAAGGTACTACTAAGTGAAAATTCCAAAATAAAAATCTATTAAAGAGTTACCTAAAATTGAAAAAGATAAAATCAAATGAAATTTTTTTTTACCATTATTTAGGCTAATAAAATACATAATCAGAAAAAATTAGTATCAGAATACAAAGGTAATGACATTTTAAGGAACAAATTTAAATATGCATATTGATCATACAGTTCATAAGGAAGCATGCATTGTTGATATTACACAAGATCAGAACTCCCTTATGTGTATTATGAAAAATTTTGCCGAACAATCACCCATTATACAACAGAATTAAAACCAGTTAACTTTGCACTTGAAAGTTAGATCAATATCCATCAAGATACCAGTTAAGTGAAAATGCCAAAATTACAATCCGCTTGTTAGTTTCCCCACATATCCAAACAATATGAAATTAGATATCCTCTATAAAAGAGTGAGCTAGAATATGTCAAGGACAATATGAAAGTAAGTATATTGGCATTTATCGGACTTGTACCGTACTGCAAACAGTAAAGGAAGTACACTGGAAGCACAAATCATAGGATAAATATATGTAGAATCCAGGGATTTAAACAAAGGTACTCTTTCATTCCAATTTGCCTCTCAGGATTCTACTCTGCATTGGTTCCTTGATCAACAAGCCACCCATACCCAGTTTAACAACAAATTGGATATTCTTGTTTCTCTCAGAATAATGGGCACTTTTTGGTGCTAAGCTAAATGAAAACTTTAAGCTGAGTTAATTTGTTTGAAAAAATTTAGGCTACTTTAGGTTGGGATGAGCTAAGAAAATTGTTTGATTGGGTTCTTTGAATCATTAAATGAAAAAGATAATTAGGGAGAATTAAGTTGAGATAAGCTAGGATGAAGGACGGCTTAGCAAGAAATCTAAATTTGATAAGAAAACATGCATACATATTCTAATAAGGAGGATTAAGAAAAAGAATTGGCGGTGAGATGACGGATTTACCTTAGACATTTGTAGTTATTCAAGTTGAACCAGCAGTGTCCTTAGCGACGAAGGAAAGAAAGCCGAATCAGGAGTTATTCATGCTTTCGTTACTGCACGTCAATGTCGAGGCCCACAACACCGCTCACATGCTCTTTCGACCTAACCGAGGCCTGAACGTTTCCTGCACTCACAACTTTGGCTTTGTTTCCTGCTTTCAAAACTTTATTGCTTTCGGCTTCATTTCCTGTGTCGTCTCCTTCCGACTTCGTCTCCTGCACTCACGGCTTCTTCTCCTTCTCTCACAGCTTCGTCTCTTTCTCTCATGGCTTCGCCTCCAGTTCGCCTTTCAATTCTCACAGGAAGCCCTAATCCTATATGCGAACACGAATCAACTGCGTCGTATTTACATATACACCCATACAGCCGCGTTACGCTCTGATGCGTACGCCTCGTGCGAAAAAATCGTAGGCTTCGCTGGATGGTTCGAGGCGTAAGCCGGGATACACATGACTTCTGCCTCGACTTGAGGCACGACTCAATGCGGACACCTCATCCGCCTTTTTAACGGTTGGTTCAAACTAGTCTCATGCGTTATGATCTATTATCCATCATTATCATGGTGTTGTTTGATTCAGCCGTGGGAGTCCTTTATAAGTTTGATGTTCCGAGTGCTTTGGTTTGGCTGGTTTAATGAAATGAGTGACATTTAGATTATTAACTTGTTCAGTGCATCTCAAAGTTCTTTTGTGACATACAACAATCGTTGTCTACTGTTTTCATCACATTTGAATAGATTATTTTGTGGAGTCAACAGATCACCTGCATTTAGATTGAATCATTAGAGATTGAAAATATCTAGAGCTTTCCAAAAAAATCTAACTTAAAATGGTATTTTAGTGAAGTCATGTTCGTTCTGGAGCAAAAAATGATGCTGAACTAAATATATAACCTTTAGCAGAGAGATAGTTGGCTTGGCTTATTTATGCCACAAATAATTGTAATAAACAGAAAGGCTGCAGTGTTGTGAGATATGACGTGTGCAATATAGTGGCTGTTGTCTTCCGCCTTTATTATGTTTGAATTGATCATTTCGGAGTAAATATGGAGGTCAATATAGATCACCTAAGCATGACTCGTTAAAGATTGGAAATATGTAGAGTTCTCCATAAAGAATCTGACTTAAAATGTTATTTTAGTGAAGTCAGGTTCAAGCTGGAGTTAATGATGATGCTAAACTAAATAGATGACCTTTGGCAGAGAGATATTTGGCTTGGCTTTTACACCACAAATAATTGTAACAAACAGCAAGGTGGCAGTTTGTGAAATATGATGGCACAAGGCTAAGTACAATAAAATTTATGGGATTGCTAGAAATTATCCTTATTGAACCAAATCAAAGTTTTGATATTTTTGTACAATTAAATATGGGCTTCAAAAGTCGTGGATCACTTTTAAGTAGTAACGTACTCCTCAAGAACCTGTACAAAATTTACTCTATAATAAAGAAATTGATTGATTTTGACTTCCATTTGATTCTTCATTGGGGAACACTTATTTTACTTTTATAAATAGTTACAAATTTCAGGCACATCTTAAATTCTCAATAATAGCATTACAATATGTTGTTTATTGTTCTTTATGATATTGTATTGGCTATTTACTGACGTAATATCTCTTTGGTTTTCAGAAACAGATTTGTCTTATTCTTCATATTTGACTTTGATGGAATCTCTTACTTATCCAGAGGTCTTCACAAGTGCTAAACTTTTATTTGATCTTGAATTTGTTCACCTGAATTTGCTAGTATGCTTCTGGATATTCTTAATATTCTTCTATTAATGAATATGACTCTCTTTATTTAGATTTATAGTAATTAATAGTGATTCTATTTTCTATTATAGTACTTCGAAGTCATTCGAATTCTAATAATTAGAAAAAGAAAAAATTTACGAATTTTCTTTCTAGTTAGTAACTTTTATTAATCTACCATATAAACCCATACCTAGAACTCCTATTAAGGGTTTTTGACGGTCGGGCCCCCTACCACTAGCCCGGCTAGCTAGTGAGCGGTTCTTTTCTTTCGGGCGGGAAGCAGGCCGGGCCCTACGGGCGGGCATCCCCGCTACGCAAGCAGCATTGTTCGCCACCACCCGAGAAGCAAAAGATTCGAGACGAGAGTCAAGGTGCGGAGCAAAGAAAATACAAGCATAGTGGTCTAATGACAAGGGCCGATGACGGAAGCTCGGGACGGAGCCGTATGATGCGGAAGTCTCACGTTTGATCTCCATATCTCCATCTCCACTTTGTTCAGAGATGTGCAAATACACTAGATTGGTTTAGAGTACAGAAAAGTTACTTGTCAAGTAATTCTTTTTCTCTGCTAGAAGCGGGGCTCTAGGTATAACCGTTTCTTTGCCACCTATGCTTTTCCATTTAGTGGTTGTAGTCCACAATGTCAATATTTTCTATTTTTTTTATTATTCAGGAACTTACTTCCATCAAAATCACTTAGTGACTTAAACCCCTAAACCTAAAACGGCCCAACTTTTTTGTGGTGGGTTAGTTCATATTAAGTAATATTATTTGAGGTAGAGATACATTCTGGTGAATGTGATTACTCCATTATCTCTATGTGCAAGTGATAATGGCTTGTTGACCATGAGAGTTATATTCCACTCTTCATGTTGCTCCATGATTGAAAGTTTTCAATTTTAATCCACCACATTGAAGATTCTATCATGAAAGTCCTTCCACTAATAAACCTATTATTTAGAGAGAAAAATGTCAAAATTATATATATAGTTTCACTCTCTTTCCTCTCTTTTGTGATTTTGATGGAAACAATATTCATCATAGGCGACTTCAGCAATCTTGCATGAATTTCCATTCCAAATTGGAAATCTCTCATGTGATTTCACACGTGAAGTGAAGATTGAGAACCATTTTTATTTTCTTCGAAACAGATTTCTCCAATAGAAAGAATACCTTCTTTGATTTTTTTGTTGCAAGTTTGTTGAGCTCGTGCCTTCAACAAGTTCACAGAATCTATGCATCCTCAACAATGATTTTCCTCAAGAACAAAACCTGACTCCACACTTTTGATAGACCCTGATTAAAGAAAACAAGCATGAGTTATACAATTGAACATATGGACTAGTAGAGGACTGGCCTGGAAATCCAAGCCAATGAAATCATCTAGTTCCTCTTGTGCTGTCGAAATCATTGTTGAGTAGCACAATATGTAGCAACTGTTGACATTTCTATAATCACCTCCGTCATCATTATGTTTGTAGCCTTCAGCAAAACCACCACTAAATTGGTCCTTGCACCTTTAATTCTTGCTTCGATCGCATCATGGACTTTGCCTTCTCAAGATTTCTCATTGATGGTGATATTCCTTCATCATGGATGTGACAATGTGTCCATGATTGCATCTCTTTTTTATTTCTCAGTTAAAGGTCATGAAACATTGAAGCTAAAACCCCTCGATCTCCCTTTCTCCAAATCATTGATGATCTTAGTGTTAATGCCCTCACGAAAATCTGGGAAGGATCGCTTAAGGGTCTTTTCAATAATAGCATAATCAAGGTTATCAAGAAAAGAGATCAAAGTCTACATCGATAGTCATAATGGGAATTATATAAACGACCCAACCTTCCAAGATGACAAGTAGAAGAGAAGCAAGAGAGGGCTAACCTCTCTTTGAGATTATGGTTGGATCTCACACTTTTTTAATCATTGCGTGATAGCTTATGGGTCTCATCTTGAGCCAACGAGCTTACCTATGTTTATAATGCATCTCACCAAGATAAGGGTTTTTATGCGGACTTAAATAAATGCACGTTATCTGCATTGATAAATAAAAAAAGTTAATATCGTTGGCAAAAAAGGATCTTTGTAAAGATCGATGTTTGAACTTAAAAGACCTTTTTGTATGCTAAAGGTATCCTAGAGACTAACATTGTTGGTTTTTAATAATATGGACCATTTTAAAGTATGATTTATGACTTAGAATTGATTGATATTAACCTTTAATATATATATATATATATATATATGAAAGTTCATGAAGGTTGTTAAACTTCTAAAAACTAGGCTGAGGCTAACTAAGAGGAGGGGTAAATTGGTAATTTAAAACTTCTTTAAGAAAAAAGAAAATCTTTTTATACTTTTTCAAACACTAAAGTTAGAAGATTTCAACTACGGATATGGAAGCAAATAAATTCACAGTAACAAAACAAATCATAGTTTTCAACCACACAGTAAATTACTGAAAAGTGCAGAAATTAAAATGCAAAAAAATAAAAGAACGAACACACCAAATTTTATTGTGGTTCAGTCAAATCTTACCTACATCTACTTCCTAGATGCCTCCACTCCAGGTATTGCACTAGTCCTTTTAGTGTCTCTCCTGTAGCCCCCACAACTAGGCGAAGAAACCCTTACAAAAATCTCTTCCACCATCCCGATGCAGCAAGGTATCTTAAATTTTTTTCACCCTCTTGGTGAAGGAAGAGAACTTGAAATCTTTTTTCTCATTCCTGGAGATGGCAGAGAACCAAGAATCCTTTTACTCCCTCCTAGAGTTGACAGAGAATCACAAATTTTTTTACTCGCTCCTGGAGTTGGTAGAGAACCACGATCTAGTGCTGAAGAATGTCTGCCCGGAGCCACCCAAGAATTAATGCAGTGACTTGAAGAAGATTGGAAGGAACTTTGCTTGGAGTAACCTTGTGAAGCTCTTACAACTCTCCCTCACAATAACTCTCTCTCTCTTTTCTCCAAAAGCTCTCCTAAACACTCTCTCTAAGCTCCCTCTCAAACAACTCAACAATAAAAGATTGTCTTACAAGATAATATGACAGCTTAAATAGAAAGCCTCCAAAGAAGACCTATTTTTCAATATGGTGCTCCTGATTGTCCAGTATGATCCAAGATTGTCTTGTATGATACGTACAAAATAACACTTCAGCCAATACAAACTGCATTATTCTGGACGATCAGTTCAATAACTTATTCTGATTGTCATGTACTATCTTCTAATCGTTCTGTACGATTAGTTCAAAAGATTGAACTAATCGTCCAGTAATATAGCTGGCGATTAAATATCGTCCCATGCAGAGATTGGTTTGTACTGTATAAAGTTTGGTAATCATCTTGTACGATTAGTAAAAAATTATGGTTTTTCAACTTGGACAATGGGCAACATTTAATTATCGTCCCATGCATGAATTGATTCGTACAGTATGATCATTTCCAATCGTCCTATACGATCTGATTGAACAATTTAACCATAATTAAACACCTAATCATAGGATCAATTTATGTATGATTCTCATCGATTATACAATACGATGAATATCATACTGTACGATTAGACACAGATTTTGAATATTAAAATATCACTTAAATTGTGATTGACGGCTACTTTGCTGATTATAATTAATCATCCTGTACGATCTAGATCATATAATACGATGCGTTTAATCAATCTTAATTAACTGAGGTGCCCTAATTAGGGTTTTCTGTTTTAACGGATTGTCCAGTATGATCTAAATCGTATTGTACGATTAATTCAAAAAATAGAAAAAAATTTAAATTCACCAATTCACTCCCTTAAGTGTATGTGTGCATTGTTACTTAGCTTAGTATCCACCATATGCATGACTTGACTCAAGAAAAGTAAAAGTATATTGAAATTGAAATTACAAACAGACTCAATCCTAGTATACCTAATCTTAAGCTGATTGAAGTTGTAAGTGAACGATGAACCTAAATTGTTAGTGAGCAGAGCAAAACAGATATGCAATTTAAAATAGCATAGTAAAAAGTTCAATAATGTTTGTTATTACCAAAATTATAGGACTTGCATCTAGATTTGCAACAATCTTCCTATTTTTTATGATGACAAACATTGTTGTTCTTATAATTCAATAGTATTTTGTTATTCCCTAAGCTCCTTTTTACTGAGTGAATTTTTAAAACATAAGGGAGTTGTCAAAAAAAATTTTTTTTTAAAAGGAAAAAGAAAAAGAACAACACAATAGGAGAACATAGAAGATGAAAATACAAATATGGAATTGAACATTTTAAAGCAGAATGCAAACTACCAATACATGCTACTCCCCTTTTGACATCACAAAAAGAGGAGAAAACAACATCAAACAAGCAGGAAACTACAAAACAAGAAAAGTACATAGATCACAAAATATAAAAAGAATAGTACAAACATCAGAAAAAACACAGAGCAAATTAGAAAAGAAAATGATGAGGACATCAAATTTCGACACATGTACCGTCGTCGGATACGCAGATTGACGGCTACGAACAAGAGCCTTTATTTTTTATTTATTTTGTATTTTATTTGTTCTCGCATTTTATTTTCCTAGTTTACCCCTGTGGGTATTGAGTCACTATTGTAGCCCTGAGGGCATTTGTGTCTTTCCAATTTTGTTTCATTTTGGCTTATTTATAGGAGGCCTCTTGCATGGTATTAGATGATGAGTGATGAAGTAAAATTTCAATTTTCTTTCTTTAGATGATCTCTTAGTGAGTTCGTGAGAGGAGAGGCCCAAGTGGGATAAAAGCAATACCCGTCAATCTTGGTGGATTCCATGGTTCGCGGTTCTTCAATTTTTCTGTTCTTTTATTTTTCTTGTGTTGAATCCCCTGCCCTAAACTTCCCACCCGTCAGCCTTATCCCCCAAAGCCTTTCTTTGTTTTTTTCTTCTAACCCGAGCCCTCCCCTTGCCGCCGGCCTCCTTGGGCCACCCAAGCCGCCGCCCACCACCTACCTGATCGCC